CTTACTACAGCCCCACTCATGTTTCATCAAAAATTTATTGAACACTGGTAGGATATTGTGTGAGCACAGACTATAAGGCATAGTTCTTAGCAATGTGTGCACTTGCTCCTGAACTTGGACAACTTAGTTAACTTCTCTGAGCCTTGTTTTCCTCATCTGTAAGTAGAGATAATAAAAACACTTCCTTCTTAGGGTTATTATAAAGATTAAAGTGCTTAGACTTTCAGCTTTGGCTGGAAGTAGGCACAAAGTCTGTGGTATTACAAAAGAGTGGGAATGATGTTTGGAGTTGGCTGCTGGGAAGTAGAAGAAAGGACTTAGAAAAAGATCTTTGGTTTGTTTGTTTGTTTGTTTGTTTGTTTTTATCAAACTGATTTCTTTGATGGAATGGCAATATGCTGGCTTTTTGGTCCCAAGTTTCTGTAATACCACTTGCTGTTAGTCTCTCAACTTTACCATTATTTACTATTGTAGTATATATTGAAGTATAGTGTCTATAAAGGATATAGCTAAATAGATATTGCTTAATATCAGCTTTAATACCTTTAAAGGCACTATTTAAGCAGTGAAAAGACAATTAGAATATTTACATTGGAATTTCTTTTTGTGGAAAGAATGTGGAACCGTTTGACACTTTGGGCTAGAAAAGCTATTGAATGATGTAAGCAGAGCTTAATGGGCCATTTTTGTGCTTGGAAGAGAAATGCAGGCAGTGGAGGCCCAGCTCAGATAGTTCAGCTGGGAACAAGAATTCTTAGGAACTAGAATAGTGACCAATTGTGCGAATATTCATTCTGCTCATGTCTTGAGGTCCTGTGTAAAGTTGGATTTGAAGATAATTAACTGGTTTATTCAGCAGATAAAAATTCAAAGCAAGGTGGTGTTTAGGCTGGTGCTGCAGAAGCATTTGTAACAGAGAGAGCTCTGCAGTAAGACAATAGGAAGTGTTCCTTGAGGTCAATACAGAGGCTGATATAGCTGTGGTCCAAGGAGGCCAGGGTATATCAGAAGCTAGCAACAGAACTGGGCAGTGTTGTAAACATGGTTCCATGTGGCCCTGGTTTTGAAAGCATGATAGATGCAAAATTCAGATGATTGTGAAGAATAGCTGAAACCAGGTACCATGTGGCAAGGTCAGAGACCCTATGAAAAGGCCCTAAAAGTCACTGAATGAAGCTGTGGTGATGAAGCTTTAGTTGCATTGGAGAGACTGGGATATTGAAGATGCCAGAACAGATTTTTGTAGCTACCCAGACAACAGAATTATTCTCTTCCATTTTGTTTTTTTTTCCTTTTTAATTAAATTTTTATTTTTTATATTAATTACAGCTTATTCACTTTGTATCCCAGCTGTAGCCCCCTCCCAACCCCACCCTCCCTCCCTCTTCTTTTTTTTTAAGATTTACTTCTTTTATTATGTAAACCATATTTTGCGTGCATGTACACCTGAACACCAAAAGAGGACACCAGATCTCATTATAGATGGTTGTGAGCCATCATGTGGTTGCTGGGACTTGAACTCTGGAAGACAAGCAGTTCTCTTAACCTCTGAGCCATTTCTCCAGCTCTCTTCCATTTTGTATTCCTTTGGTTCTTACAAGAGAACCATAAAGATTTTAACTTTATCATCTTGTGGTTTTAGCCATGGATCACCCTTCGTCATTAATCATGATTTTAAGTCATATCCAAAGTTTGTTCAGTTAGTTGGGTACAACTCAGAGTTGGGTAAGAATAGGAGTTACCAGAGCTACACTGAAATTCTTCAAACTATATTTAAAAAGATGGTTGTCTTTTTAGTATGTATAATGCTGAGAGCCGTGCACCTGGGGCCTTCACTGAGCTACATCCATCCCCTGCCCAAGAAGATTGTGTTTCATCCTGAAAGAAAGAGGAAGTTCTTGAGGAGTTTCAGTGGTACAATATTTCCACATCATAAGAAAAAAAAATCACACTGTAAAATGGGCTGGACAAGATGAAACTGCAGGAGGAAAGTCATTCATAGACTATAGAAATTGTCCAGGTGAAAGGTGAGAGCCTGCACCATTAGTTCCAAATGCTGTTTCTTCAGCCGTATCTCTTTCCTTGCCTTCAGGTCTACACATTCAGCTGCCTCTTTAAGGCTCAGCTAAAAGTCTGCCTGATAGACATTTTATATATGTGTGTGCTTAAAACAAGGCTCTTGGTTCAGCTTCTAATCTGCTCCCCTCCCAGTTCCCCATTTCACATATCAGTACCATCACCCATCTTATCAAGATTACATCATTTCTTTCTGTCATTTGTCTCTGCAAACCTAGTTTCATCATACCCTCTGCCTGTTTTGCTGGAGGGCTCTCATCTTATGGATGTATGCTGGACTCATCTACTGCTTGTCATCTCACTATTATTATCATTTCAGGCTGTGAGCTCCACAAAGGGAAAAGCTTAGTTTGCCAGAGGCCTCCAAGCACTGTACTGTTCTGAACCATGAATGTTCTATGAGCAGATAAGATTGGTGGCTTCCGTATGACTTTCTACTTCTGACTGGAGCTGTTTGATCCATAGTGATGCCATCCATTTGCTTAAAAGATGAAAGAAGATTAGGTTGAGACGGGAAAATAATAAATTAGTGCACACTGTTGCATTTGACGTGTTTAGGGAACATCCTAAGGAGAAATATAGCAGGCAGGTGTACGTACAGACCTGGGGTTTAAAAACACTGTCCAAAGGCCAGGCAGTTCTGACATTTTAATCCCACCACTTGGGGAGGCAGAGGCAGGTGAATCCCTGAGTTTGAGGCCAGCCTGCTCTACAGAGTGAGTTCTAGGGCAGCCAGGGCTATGCAGAGAAACCCTGTCTCAAAAAACAACAAGCACCATCTGAATCTTCAACATAAACAGGACAGTGAAGCACTGGGCATCACCATTGTGTCTGTTTTGTGCCAAGAGAAAAGACTGAGAAGCCCTCACCGACATCTCAAAGCCAGTAAAGGAGAGTGCCCGAAGAAAGCAAGGAAGGAGCAGTCAAAATTTATGAGAGATCTCAATTAAATACCAACAGGAGGATTTTGAGCAGGAGAAAATGGCTGGCTCGTAGGTGCTAAAGAGAGGTTAAGGACAGAGGTGCCATGGGTATGCCTTTTACGACTTTTGAGACCAGTTTCGTTAAGAAGCAGAGAAAGATATCAGATTACCAGAACATAAAGAGGTAGGAACTCTGGGACAGGTCAGTGTATGCAGCTTGGCTATAAACAGGGAGTAACCTTACAATAAAGGTTCAAGGAGGGTGTTCTAGACATTTTTTTTTATCACTCAGTCTCAGCCCACTGCTATGAACCCCACCTGTTTTTAGCAAATTGTCTTACTTACAAAAATAGGCCAACAGAAAAGTTGGTTTCCTTTCCCCCATGAGGAATGGCCTTATATTTCAGAAGTGACACGTTTATAGATCCCAAAATCAAATCTGCCTCATGCCTGTCAGAGGCCTTCTGCTCTATTCCCATAATTTCACCCTTATCTTGGTGTGGTGTCCTATACTTGTGATTCCAGCTCTTCAGAAGTGGAGTCAGGAGTATCAGGAGCTCAAGGTTGTTTACATAGCAAGTTCAAGGTCAGGCTGGGCCACGAAAGACCATATCTTTCATAACAAAACTTCCCTTTTAACTGTTTGAGGATGGCAGACACTGACCAAAAGCAACTTGGGAGGAAAGGGCTTATTTCATCATACAAATTACACTCTATAACGAAGGGAAGCCAGAACAGACACTTAAGCAGAAACCTAGAACCAGAAACTTAAGCAGAGGCCATGAAGGAATACTATTTACTGGCTTGCTCAGCTACCTTTCTTATACAGTGCAGGTCCACCTGCTTAGGAATGCCATCACCCACAGTGGGCTAGGCCCTCCTATATAAATTAGCAACCGAAAAATGCCCCACTGGGGCTGGAAACATGGCTCAGCAATTAAAAGCACCTTGCTGCTCCTGCACAGGACCTGGATTTAGTTTCCACCAGCCACATAGTGGCTAACAATTGTTCATAAAGCCAGTTGCAGGGATTCAGTGCCCTCTTCTGGCCTCATATATACATACCCAAGACAAACAGACAGACACATCCACATAATTTAAAATTAAATCTTTAGCCAGGCACAGTGGCACACGCCAGTAATTCCAGTACTCTCAGAGACAAAGACAGGTGGATCTCTGCAAGTTAGAGGCCAGCCTGGTCTACAAAGCGAGCTCAGGACAGCCAAGGCTACACAGAGAAACCACGTCTTATTAAAATAAATAAAAATAAATAATAAGTCTTTAGGACTAGGGATATGGCCCAGCAGTTACAAGCACTGGCTGTACTTCTAGGAGACCTGGATTCAGCCAAACTCCAGGACCCACAAAGCAGCTCACAAGAAGCACAGGTGTACAGGCAAGCAAAACACCCATACACACAAAAACAAAAACAAATCTTTAGAATAGTATTAAATTAAATAAGTCTTTTTAAGGAAAGACAAAAAAGAAGGAAAGAAGGCGGGCAGGAGAAATGAATCAACAGACAAGAGCACTGGCTGCTCTTCCAGAGGGCCTGAGTCCAATTCCCAGCAACCACATGGCAGCTCATAACCATCTCTAATGGAATCTGATTTCCTCTTGTGGTTTTCATTAAAACAGAACACTCAGATATATAAAAATAAGTAAATAAATCAAGAGAGAGATTTTCCCACAGGCCAATCCAATGGAGGCAATTCCTCAGTTGAGATTTCATCTTTCCAGATGTATCAAGTTGACAACTGAAGCTAACTATGACACATAATAAGGGTCAAAGACAGAAAAGGACAATTAACATGTGCTATAGTTTGTGGATACTTCCACACATTTTTGTCTGACCTTCACAGAATCTCAAGGGCATAAGTGGTGGTGTCCTACCCTTGAGAAACAGGGAGACGGTTGTTTAAGGATGCTGCATCTGTGAGCTGTGGAGTGAGAACTAAACGGTAGGATGTCCTATGCAGCTTCTTTTTGTTTCCTGCCTAGATGGCTGATTCTGATCCTGGCGAAAGAAACTATGATAACGTGCTGAAAATGCTGTCCGACCTGAATAAGGACCTGGAAAAGCTATTGGAAGAGATGGAAAAAATCTCAGGTAGGATGTCTTTCCAAACAGGGTGCCTTCCCCTTCATCAGTTGCTCCATCGTTCCCTAAACCTATGAACTTGTATCAAGTGCCTTCTCTAACAAGGGCTTCCCTAACATCCTTCCAACTCTTATAGCTTGTAACTATTACAACACAAAATTTGGCAGTTACAGTGACGTGACTGACTTTGGGTTATCTTGTGATTATTTCTCATAGGATTAATCTAACTTCTACCGTTGGACTGTTATCTTCTTGAGGGCAGAAATAGAGGCACATAATTGGCATAGCGTCACATATGCAGCACATGGCAGGCACAGGTCATTATTGCACTAGTGAACAGAAGTTGAACAGTCTTTCAGTGAGTTATTTAAGTAGAAAGGTTTGGAATGATCATGAAACAAGAAACGGGAGGCACAGTACTGTGGGATAAAACATCAACAGGATGGGTGCATTTCTTCATTCTTGAGAAAGAATATTATTTTGTTATCTTATCAACATGTTTCCATGAAGCAGTAGTAGCAAAAAATCATAACTCGATATGTTTTTTATTCAAAATATATATAATTCTAGAGGCATGTGGATCTCTGAGTTCTAGGCCAGCCTTGTCTACAAGGTGAGTTCCAGGATACCCTGGGCTACACAGAGAAATCCTGTCTCAAAACAAAGCAAAAGACTTTAACAATATATATAATTCTTATAATCCGTGAGCCCTGATTTTGCTACAGAAAGGGGGCTGCTTTACAGGGCATAAGGCAAATATATTTTATTCACATGAAAGCAATTTTAGAGCAAGCAAGATGGCTATGAATATGTAAAGGCACTTGTAGCTGAGCCTGACAACCTGAGTTCAATCCCTGCTGCAGATTGTCGACCTCTGACCTCCACACATGCACTATGACACATGGGCATGTGCACACCAACACACACGCAGGACCCTGCATGCACACAATACACGTAAACTTGTGCGGGCTCACACGTGCACATAAACACAAGATTCATTTTGAAAACTTAATCCGAAAAGCTATACAACTCCAATCTAATTGTTTGTCTTTTTGTTGGATAGGACTATCATGCCATTTTAATGATAGAAACTGAGCCAGGCAGTGGTGGCAGATGCCTTTAATCCCAGCACTAGGAGGCAGAGGCAGAGGCAGGTGTATCTCTGTGAGTTCAAGGAGAGCCTGGTCTACAGAGCAAGTTCTAGGACAGGAGCTACACAGAGAAACCCTGTCTCTAAAAAAACCAACCAAACAAACAAAAGAATAAAATTTTAATAGAAACCATTCCTTTCCTGAAAGTGGGTAAGACATGTTACTATAATTTAAAAATATGAATTAAGATGAAAATACTTACATTTTATATAAAATGGCAGACACTAATAATGTATGGTTAGGCTGGGGAGGGTGCTAAGAAGGAGCAGAAGCTGCCCCGAAGAGCCAGTGAGGCTTTGAGGAAAGCCTTAGAGGAGTTGTGCTGTAGACAGGAGTGGCAGGCGCTCAAATGGAGATGAAGAGCACTCAGAAGACACAGCTGAGGCAAGGGTGAGGGCTCATCAGTGTGCCAAGTTCCTGAGATCTAGCCAAAGAGAGGCAAGACTGAGAAGACAAGAACCAGAAGCAAACCAAGGACGTTTACCATTCTCCACTTCAAGGTTCCAAGCCGTTTCCCCTTTTCTCGCTGGTTTATCACAGCAAAGAAACCATAAGACAGAAACTCTAACCCAAACAGCACCACCAACTGGGGACAAACTATTCAAATGCCCCATATTAGAAGACATTTCTCACTCAAACTACCAACAAATGTTTACACAAAGTGTCTAATTTGAGGAGTAAGATAGTCTTTTTAAAGTTTTACTTATTCATTAGCCATCTCTTGAGAGTATATTATCGATATATAAGCAACTACAAATTAGTTTTAAATTTTTAATTTTATTTTGGGTTTTATTTTTTTATTGTTTTGTTTTGTTTTGTTTTGTTTTAAGAGAATGTCTCACTATGTAGCCCAAACAGCTGGCTTGGAACTTGATTCATAGACAAGGCTGGCTTCAAACTTAGAAAGAGCTGCCTGCCTCCCAAGTGCTGGGATCAAAGGCATGCATTGCCATCCCCAGCATTTTTTTTTTAATTTATTTACACAGGATGCATTTTTCTTGAACCATCTCCCCTAGTCCCCAGGTCCTAACCCCCATGAAGAGGGGAAAGGACCTCACTATGTATCTTAGTCTAGCCCCAAATTCACTATGTAGACTAGGCTGACGTCCAACTCACAGAGATTTGCATGCCTCTGCTTTCCGAGTGCTGGGACTAAAGGTGTGCCCCCACACCAGGCCACCATGAAGTTCTTACGTCTTCTAAGATAGCTTAGCTACTCTGTTGTAGAATAGGTCAGGTTTTGAAAGAGTAAAGTGTCCAAGCTGCTGCTGACATTGGTGTTGTCCTCAACATCGCTACCATTCAGAAGTTTCTCCTCCTCAGGCTTCTTCTTTATTTTATGGTTTTTGAGTTTTCCTCACATGCTTGCTCTTCCAGGAGAGTAACAGATTCTTTAACAAATTCGTTAAAGATTTATTTTCCAGGACTGGGGTTGAATCCAGGGTTTTGACATGTGAAGCAAGTGCTATAGCCCATGCTCCTTTACACCCACACATTAGCATGTTTTGTTTGTTCGGGTTCATTTGAGAAGTCTCACTCTTCAGCTCAGGCTGGCCTGGCAACCCTCCTGCCTTCTCCTCCCAAGTTCTGGGATTACAGGCATGAAGCACCACACCTGGCTGAAAAGGTGATAGTATTGTAACAGGAAATATTTCCATTCTAGAGAGGTGACACTTCAGATTGTTGAGATGCTCATTAAGGTGTCTCTGCTTTGCACTATTGTCTAGATTTTTTCTTTTGGTTTGTTTGATTGTTTGGGACAGGATCTCTCTATGCAGTGTTATACTGAGGAAAAAATCATTTCCACAACTGATTAAAGAAAGCTATATTTAGAAGTGCGTGAGGGACTGGTCAGGTGACTGTCTCCCTCTGAGTTGGAGTTTCAGAAAGCAGCCTCTCACTGGCTTTTGGGGTCTGTTTTATGGGGAAGGGTTAGGGTTGGTAGAAAACATCAGAAGGGTTGGGGATTCAGGACTCAAGGCTGCCTGTGAGGAAATAAGCGTCAGAATACATCCTGTGGAAGGGGAATATATCATGGGTGTTCAGGAGTTTAGCAAGGTGAAAGGGTGGGTATTGATCATGGGGTTACCAGTTCAGAGTAGGCTGAACAACATGGTTTGCAGGATATAGTAGGCTTAGGAAACAGAAGCTTTTTCTTGTAAGACATGGAAAGTTAATAACACAGTACAACAATGTGGTGCCTGTTTGAATTTCACAGAAGCTCTGGTTGTCCTAGAACTTACAGTGCCGACCAGCCTGACCCCCCCCCCCCCCCCCGCCTCTACCTCCCAGGCACTGGGATTAAAGGCATGAGGCACCACCATGGCTTCTTCATATTTTTCCATGCACACACTTCCGTGGTTTTGTTCCTATTAGAAGTAGATACATTTCTACTTTATCTGCTAACTAATACTAGACCACAAGAAGATTGCACAAGTCTGGCTGTTTAGTATTCTTCTGTGTTATTGATAGTGATAATAACCAGCTTCTGTTTATTATGTACCACATTGATGTCTTTTCCATGGGCCCTAAATACATTATCTCATACACTTATAACAATGTTAGGGGGATATATATCATTATTATCCCCATTTATGGATGAGGCAACCTGGTGGTAGAATGTGACTACCCCGTGTTGAATGCCCTGGGTTCATTCCCCAGCACTAACTCACATCTTCTCACTGCCCCCCCCCCAGAAAAGAAAAAACATAGAATAGTGTAGCTAAATTCTAATAAATAGCTCTCTAAGTTCTTTGGCAATTCTGGAATCAGTGCACTCAAGGAACTGTAAACTCTTGCTAATTATCTCTTCAAAATCATCACAGCTTTCCTGCTCACTGTCCTTTTTTAAAACTACCCCCAATGGTTTAGGGTTCTGTTATATAAGCATCATATTCTTGGCACCCACATGAGTACCTGCTATCTCTAGCTGCACTAAGAGGCTGGTAGCCAGAAGTATTTGTTATGGCCCAACTTTAGAAGGTAATAAATCTGAACTTGGCATATCTTTATAGTTCTGGCTATGTCTCTCCTAAGATCAGTCCCAACACCAGCCATGGCTTCAGTCTCTGAACATTTGACTGGGTACTGGAAAATCTGCTTCCAAACTCAGGTAGTTGATGACAGGAGATTTTTGTTTCCCCTTTCTTTCTCTTCCTTTTCTTCTTTTCTTTTGATGGTGGTGGTGCTGGAGCCTTGGGAATAGTAGGCAAGTTGTCTCCCCATGAGCTACGGGAGACTTTTCTGCGTGGCCTCTTTTTAGAGCTGGTCTTAACTTTGCCTGCCATTTCTCTGTCACAACACGTACTGTTTACTTCCTTCTTTTTTAAATTTTTTTATATTATTACAGTTTATTCACTTTGTATCTCAGTTGTATCCCTCTCTGTCATTCTCTCCCAACCCCTACTCCCTCCCTCATCTTCTCCCATGCCCCTCTCCAAGTCCACTGATAGGGGTGGTCCTCCTTCCCTTCCATCTGACCCTAGCCTATCAGATCTCATCAGGACTGGCTGCATTGTCTTCCTCTGTGGCCTGGTAAGGCTGTTTCCCCACCAGGGGGAGGTGATCAAAGAGCCAGCCACTGAGTTCATGTCAGAGACAGTCCCTGTTCCCCTTACTAGGGAACCCACCTGGGTACTGAGCTGCCATGGGCTACATTTGTGCAGTGGTTCTAGGTTATCTCCATGCATGGTCCTTGGTTGGAGTATCAGTATCAGAAAAGACCTCTGTGCCCAGATTTCTTGGTTCTATTGCTCTCCTTGTGGAGCTCCTGTCCCCTCTAGGTCTTTCTATCTCCCCCTTCTTTCATAAGATTCCCTGCGCTCTGCTCAAAGTTTGGCTATAATCCTCAGCTTCAGC